GGAAGAAGAGGAAGGAGAGGGTCAAGAAGACCACTGCCAGGATCATTGGCAAGCCCTCTATGATGAGAGATGATGTAGAAGAAGAGGAAGAGGATGCTGCTCTAGCACCTAAGTCACAAAAGCTCATGGGAGATGCAATCAAGTCAGGGGCTGCTTCTAAGCCCAAATCTGCTCCCAAAGCTGTTGCTCAAATCACCAAGTATGCACCCAAGAGAAGCACTAGAAATTTACCTGCTGAAGAGAAGAACAAGGCCCCAATGCCTGAAGTTGAAGAAGAAGATGCTAAAGCCCAAGTGCTGAGAAAGCTGAAACCCAAGATCCCAGACCACAATGACACACATCCAGTGGCAGAGGACATGAAACTCAGGAAGGATGCATGATTGAGACTATGGAGACAGTCTGATCCATATATTGCGAGAAGGAGAACTGCAGTGGACTACAAGTTCCACACAAAAGAACAACAAGACTTCTATGAGACCATTCTGCTTGACAAGAAGCCAATTGTCTGTGACATGAGATGGGTTGAGTGGAACTACATCAGAGAGAATGAAGATCACTTCCCAGGAGTATTTGACAGCTTCAAGTTTTGTGAAGTTGACAAGTTTGTTGGATAGAAGCTCACCAAATGGAATGATGAGCTGATCATGCAATCCTATTCCACTGCTCACTTCTATCCAGATGGAAGGATAGTATAGATGTCTGAAGGTACAAGGTACCAATCAACTGTTGTTGAATGGGCCAAGTTGATCAATGCACCAGCTGCTGAGCATGAGGATGATCTGGATGTGTATGCCAAGAAGAAGAAAGATCACAACTCAATGGAAAGCATGTACAAGGAGATTCCTGATGAAGCCCTTGAGACTCATCAGTTTGGCTCAGTGAAGTTTCTATTGTTTGGTTTGCCTACAATCAACACAATCTTCAGGCACACTCTATTGCCCAAATCTGGAGATCATAGGATGATAAGAGGACATTCAGTCAACTTGCTGCATATTTTGATGTTACTCAGAAATTCAAAGTCATGAGTCTGATTGTAGAGACAATCAAGAGGACAGCTGCTGATCAGAAAAGGTCTTGTGGGTATGCTCCACATATTCAGGTGCTCATCAACTCAAAGATGGGCACAAGCACCTACTTGTTGGACAAGGAGCATTTACCACTTAGCCCATATTTTGAAGACAACATAGTTGTGATGGATGAAAATGAACCTTCATCAGTGCAAGCACATGAGAAGAGGTCAAAGGCAAAGGCAGAAAAAGCTGCAAAGATGCCATCTGCTGAGGAAGCTTCTGAAGTGTTCTTGAAGAGCAAACAAGATCAACTTGCATATCTGATCTAATCTACTTTGAGGATTGAGAAGGGCTTGGCCACCCTGACTCAAAATCAGGAGAGCTTGGAGAGGATCATAGAGACAAAATTTTATGATCTTGATCTGAAAGTCACAGAGATTCAGATAGCAGTAGAGCAGCTTCAAGAGGAAGCAAAGGAGAAGAAAGGAAAGGCAACTACAGATGCCTTTTCGAGAGTGCCAAGAGGTCAGAGGTCTGATGCAGTGCCTGTTCCCGATACAAGAGCAACCACATCTGCACCAGCAGCCACAGCTTCAGTGCCACTTCCAGCAGCCACTCCACCAGCTCCAGCTACATCTACAGAAGCCTTCGTCCTGGGAGTCATATCTACACCACCTCATGGAGATCAAGCCTGAGAGACGCATAGCACTATGCATATTTGAACTTTTTGGTAACTTGTTGTCAAAGGGAGAGAAATATGTATAGATCATAGACTTCGAGAGAGAGTGTTGCTTCTTTTTGTCTCTCTTTCTATTTGAACTTTAATGTGTGCTTGTTTGATACTTATGTCTTTTGTGAGATACTTGTATGATCAAGTGTTTGATCATGTACTACTTTAATGTTTGCTTGGATGATATTATCTTTCATATCCATATTTGATCATTCACTTTGCTTGGTGATGAGTGCATGCTTTTAATTATTATCATTTTGAGCGCTCCACCAAGATGCATGTGACATGAAAGAGTAACCCATGATGCTAATCGATTGTGCATTTGCATTCAAAAGCAAATCTTAAATAATGCACAAATTTAGGGGGAGCTCTTTCTTATCACATACTTCTCAAAGCGACGATGTATTTCAATCTTATTATCATTTGTCGAAGCTTTGATCTATATGTTGTCATCAATTACCAAAAAGGGGGAGATTGAAAGTGCAACTATCCCTGGGTGGTTTTGGTAATGATTAACAACATATAGCTCATTGAACTAATGCTATTTCAAGATAAATATTTCAGAAAAGTTCAATGATTGGCATGGCATGGATCAGGAATGTGGACCCCTCAAAATGGTAAGGACAAAAGATTGGCTCATGCTCTAAAGCTCAAGACTCTACATTTTATATTTCAGTGATCCAAGATCACATTGAGTCTATAGCAAAGTCAATACTATTAAAAGGGGATGAGGTGTTGCTTAATGGCTTGCTTGCTCAAAATGCTTAATGATATGCTCCAGAAACCCTCAACCACTTTCTCATATCCACATATGTCCTAAATCAAAAGTCAAACTCGGCCCCACCGATTTGATCTATCCGACGCCACCGAGTTCATTTGACATAGCCACTGCCAGCAACCCTAGTATTTTCAGTCTCACCGATAGGGATCTCAATCTCACCGAGATGGGATTGCATACTCTCTTTTTCCCTTCGTAACATTTCGGACTAACCGAGATGAGCGATCGGTCCCACCGAGTTCGCAATGTAAACTCTTTGTTTCCCTTTCGTAATATTTTGGTCCAACCAAAATGAACGAATCGGTCCCATCGAGTTTGCCTGACCAACTCTCTGGTTAGCTTATTACCAAAATCGGTTCCACCGAGTTTGTGTAATCGGTCAAACCGAGATTACGTTATGCCCTAACCCTAATGCAACCGATCCCACCGAGTTGACATATCGGTCACACCGAAATGCCTAATGGTCACATAATGAACCAAATCGGTCCGACCGAGTTTTTTGATTCGGTCCCACCGAGATTGGTAAAGTGTGTGTAACGGTTAGATTTTGTGTGGAGGCTATATATACCCCTCCACCCTTTCTTCATTCGTAGAGCAAAGCCATCAGAACATACCTACACTTCCACCACACATTTTCTGAGAGAGAACCACCTACTCATGTATTGAGACCAAGATATTCCAATCCTACCATATGAATCTTGATCTCTAGCCTTCCCCAAGTTGCTTTCCACTCAAATCATATTTCCACCAAATCCAATCCTATGAGAGAGAGTTGAGTGTTGGGGAGACTATCATTTGAAGCACAAGAGCAAGAAGTTCATCATTAACACACCATTTATTACCTTTTGGAGAGTGGTGTCTCCTAGACTGGTTAGGTGTCACTTGGGAGCCTCTGACAAGATTGTGGAGTTGAACCAAGGAGTTTGTAAGGGCAAGGAGATCGCCTACTTCATGAAGATCTACCCTAGTGAGGCAAGTCCTTCATGGGTGATGGCCATGATGGGACAGACAAGGTTGCTTCTTCATGGACCCTTCGTGGGTGGAGCCCTTACTCGCGGAGCCGTTACCCTCCGTGGGTTGAAGTCTCCATCAACGTGGATGTACAATAGCACCACCTATCGGGACCACGACAAAAACATCCGTGTCTCCAATTGCGTTTGCATACTCTAATCCCATCCCTTTACTTTCTTGCAAGTTGCATGCTTTAATTTTCGCTGCTCATATACTCATTGCATGCTTGCTTGAATTGTATTGTGATTGCTTGACTTGTGCTAAGTTGCTAAAATCTGCCAAGAACTAAAATTGGGAAATTCTAGATTTTTTTGGGTCAAGTAGTCTAATCACCCCCCGCTCTAGACATACTTTCGATCCTACAATCGGCCCAAGCAGAACTTTACGGGAGGCCCGTAAACCGCCTTCCAATCTGGTATATATGCCGGCTTCTGAGCAATTTAGGGTATCCATCCATCATTTCCTCTATCACTCCCCGCCGCATATCATCTACTCTGGCGAGAAATCGAGGCGGCTCCGGCAGTGTTTTGTGGCTAGTTTTCTACCGGATCTTCCCGACGATGGTGGCTGCCAGTGCGGGGCGTGGCGGCGACAGGTGTTTCGGCGACCACGGTGGCTTCAGGTGCCGTAGGGGGTTCGGTGGCCACGGCGGGTTTGCCGGCTGCAAGCGCCCCAACGAGAACTAGGCCAGCGGCTCTGGCCTTCGCCCTCCCGTCTCAGACAAGCAAACGGAGGCGGTGCACAAGCGCGGCATGAAGTCCCGCATCACCGGATTGCGGGCTTGGGATGATTTATGTCGCCTTGGCGACCTCTTCGATCCGGCCCTCTCCAGCACCCTCATCTACCACACGCTCCACGACAGCCGCCGCCAGCCCAGGACGGCTGTGGCGACGAGGGCGACTCCAGCGACTCCGGCTCAGACGCGTAGAAGCAAGCATCCCCGCATAGTATGATGAACTAGTTTAATTTTCGTTTGAACTATGTTAATTAAGTTTGTTTGAACTATGTTTGGAACTCGGGTGATGTTTGGTGCAAACTACTTGTCTTAAAATCATTTCGAATTCCGATGATATATGCGGGATCTGTTCTATGCCCGCGTCTGTCACTCGATAAATTTTACAGGAGCCCGTAAGCGAATTTTGGGGGCGGTCGGTTGCGGGATCTGCTAGAGATGCTTATAATACTCACCTCATGGTTACCAAAGGAAGCGTAAAGTGACAAAACCCGCAGTCAGGCGGCGGCTACGTGTCCAGGCCCAGAATACGCCAGCGCCGCCGCAGTTTCACAAGAAACCGGCAGCAGTTCCAGTTCCTCAGTCCACCGCAAGTTGCACAACCCCAAATCTCAATCTTTGGCAAAACCCCCGTCTCCTCTCCCCCATTCTCTCCTGAGAATCCCCTCATCAGATCGAGAGCTGCACCTCCACAGTAGTGCTCCGCATTCGGATCGAGCAGCCGGAGGACCAACAACCATGGCGGCGACGCACCACCCGGCCTCCCCGACCGGCGCCGGCGCCGGCGGCAAGTCCCCCTCCTCCTCCCCCTCGCCGCCGACGCCGGTGCGCCTGGCGGCGTCGCAGGCGGCGGCGGTGGCGGCGTCGCAGGCGGCGGCGGTGGCGGCGATCCAGCCCAGCTCGCCGCGCTACTTCTTCTCCTCCCTCGCGGCCTCCTCCTCGCCGCACCGCCGCATCGCCATCGCCGTCGACCTGTCCGACGAGTCCGCCTTCGCCGTCAAGTGGGCCGTGCAGAACTACCTGCGCCCGGGCGACGCCGTCGTGCTCCTCCACGTGCGCCCCACCTCCGTGCTCTACGGCGCCGACTGGGGCTCCATCCCCGTCACCGTCGAGGACGGCGACGAGGAGGGGGGAGGAGGCGCGGCGCCGGCGTCCGGGGACCCGGAGGAGGACGCGCGGAAGAAGCGGGAGGAGGACTTCGACGCCTTCACCTCCACCAAGTCGCAGGACCTGGCGCAGCCGCTCGTCGCCGCGCAGATTCCCTTCAAGATCCACATCGTCAAGGACCACGACATGAAGGAGCGCCTCTGCCTCGAGGCCGAGCGCCTCGGCCTCTCCGCCATGATCATGGGCAGCCGCGGCTTCGGCGCCTCCCGCAGGGCAGGTAATGGCAGGCTAGGGAGTGTCAGCGACTACTGCGTGCACCACTGCGTCTGCCCCGTGGTGGTTGTCAGATACCCTGATGACGCCGGAGCGTCGGGCGGTGCCGAGTCTGTGGGGGATGAGCTAAGGACGGTGCCTGAGAACGAGGTGGTGTTCCATGAGGCGCCAGAGGGGCAGAAAGGTCGGTTCCTTTGCTTCACCTCGTTTGTACTCCTACTTTCCATTGCATAGTTTTGTTTGCCCATGAAGTAGGTAATGAAATGTTATGTCTTACTAGTATTCAGGGTGGCAAATTCAGAAAAGTAAAAATTTGGACACTGGAAATGATTAGAATGCGTTTGATAGTGATGGCAAGGAAGAAGACACATGATGAAGAGTGTCGCTATTAGTAAACTCGTCGCATTGCATTAGTCATTAGCACTAATTCACTACAGAAGTCCTGTGAATAGCCAAGCCAATCTGTGCAGTCGCTGAAATTGGAAATGCATTGCCCAGTGAAAATGAAATTGAAAATTGGCAAGGAAGGAGACTCGATATGCTGTTAGTAAACTGGTTGCATTGCATTAGCACTAATTCACTACAGAAGTCGGGTGAATACCCTAGTGAATCTGCATAGTAACGGAAACTGGAAATGCATAGACTAGTGAAAATACCATAACGCAAAACCGGTTGCCTCTGAAACTGTGAATTAGCAAAACCGTTGTACAGAGAATAGCATGCCAAGCTACATTTCGCATTGTGTTGCTGTTCTGCTCTGACTGAGTCGATATTTGACCTGTGCGCTGTTTGCTTAGTTGCATTTGACATCACTATTATCTATCATATGCATACCTAGTGGATATGCACTTCATTTATGAATTTGATTAAACTGCTTTCATTATTGGATGATGGAGCTTTGAATTCTCTTTTGTATGCCGAAATGTGCTAAAGTTGTCTTTTTATACGCGATAAGAATGGAAGATCGGTGCAATTTATCAAACTTAAAGTCTCAAAAAAAAAAGGAAACTGTATTCTATATTGTAGATCTAGTGAGGATATTGAAGTCGCAGTTTCATCGGGGGTGGATTCGAGAAAACACCTTACTAGTCACTGTTATGTTTGTTCATCTGTATATCCGTTAGAAAATCATAATGAAAACTTTTTTGTGTGTGATGGAAACTGATTTCATGAGAATATGTGGAGGAAGAATGAAAGAGGTCTTTCAGTTACCTTTAGGTAGAGATAGACTTATATTGAATTGTGCTCAGAATCTTGTTATGTAGCCTATCATTTGCACTTGTAGTTCCAAATCGACAAGAGTGCCCAACGTAAGGTGCATGGACATATCCAGACGGCATCATTTGGAAAGGGGAACTTATTGCTTTAAAGAGTATATTGTGTTCCACACAAAGTCAGATGCTCAGACTTGAAAGCACCTACTAGTCTTGGGCATACACACCCTGAGGCACTGTCTGATATGCTTATCTTTTGGTTGAACATAAGAAAATAAAACTATCCTGAGCATAACGTTTGCTTGCTTCCATCATGTGCATCCCACCATAATATGTGCAGCGTAACATTGACATTGCTTGATCGCTACCTAGTTAGCGTCTATTTCAGATCATTGCCTTTTACAAACTGTATGCTCCTTTGTTATTGCTGATGTTATTCTGTGTACTGTCTTGTTGGTTGGTGAGTTTATTCGTGTGCTCATATCATGAATAAGATTTGGATTTCTCCTGTCTTGACAGAAAACTGAGGGTAATAGCAAAGCACAGAGCAGCCAGATGAAAGAGGAGAGAGCAAGTCTTGCTTGATGCCAAACCCCCTTGTAACTGAATGGTCTTTCCACTCTGCTTTGCACTTCTGAGTTTGTATCAGACTCATGTAGATCATGGACCAGTCCTTGCTGTTTCGCTTCCTGAGAATTGAAATGAGAATAATGTTATTCTACATATGGTAGCTGTTAACCTGTTGTATGAATGTTTCTGCTTGGCCCCCCGGAACATGATTTCGTATGCCGACTTGTTTTTATTGCCATTGCCCATTGGTGACCAATCCTATGTTTTTTCGTTTCTCCGATAAGTGTAGATTATTGGTGGATCTTGGTTGCTTTGCTGTTGGAAAGAAGTGCTGTTTTTCTGCATATAGGAGCTACTGTGTTTCTACTTGCCTCGCTGTGTTCATTTGGTTACCTATTTTGCACGGGGCAGTTTTTGTAGACAGGCATAATCACAGATTTTGCATGGGGCAGTTCCTGCATATAGGAGTCGGGGTCGCCGGTCTGCAGATTAGTTTGCTCAAATCTGAGCTACCACCGGCTCTTTTTTCAGAGAGAGAAGCTACTACAGGCTCTTGTGTGCAATGGATCATGGCTTCCGAGCAAATACCGAGTTTCTTGGCAAATCTTCCAGCCTTGCCTTGCTTGGTGTCTCCTTTGGAAACATAAAATTTTATGTTGAATACACATGCACAAAGAAAATATTGACTTAGGGACTGTTCGGAGTCTCTCTGCTTCACGCTGCCGCTCCTGGAGCTGGCGGAGTTTTAGTTCAAAACTGCGGAGTGAGTGAATGGGCACTCCTCATATTCCTAAAATCCATACATCGACAAAACTCGGGAGAAACAAAAAGAACAAACATACAAAAATCTTGTTCAAAACAAAACCAGATCCTACTCCAGGGGAGGAACATGCATCTCCCTTTTTCCTTCTCCGTGCAATTGTTCCTGTGTGCCTTACTACTAGATACATCCATTTCCGAGACAAGTAATTCCAAACGGAGAGAGTATTTCTTTGTGCAATGCCTAGAAAAGGACACCATGCCCAATGCAACAACAATTATAATTTTCTACAGGCACTGAAAATTACCTTCTTTTTTCAACTGCCACGGATTATTTCGTGAATAGTTGTTTTGGCGAAATTTTGTTTTGCTTTCCTGTCAAAAGGATTATTATTCTGTTTTAACAAGGTCCATGAATTATTTTGTGAACCCCCCCCCCCTTCTCCCGTCTCTTCTACTCCCCTCCTTCATCATTACATATTCATACTTATAATTTACATAAAATTTATACTAATAAATATGTGTAATTTTTTATATATTAATGACTTAAAAATGACTAGCACATATACCCGTGCATTGCAACGGGAGAGTTAATTGGTGTGTCCACCGAAATACCCATCAAACGACTGGTGCGAGCAGAAATTCATTTGATAGTCTCGGACGTCGTTCCCTTCTCGAGGCATCGTCGTTGCAGGTCACATCAACCTAATCGGGAAGTTCTGGGGGAAACCCTAAATTTGGGTCTACCGGATCGGACGATGACGGCGCCTTCGGTGTCGTTCTCCCTCCTGGTGGCATCGTTTTGGAGCAAGTGCTAATTGGAGGGGACAAGAAGAGGAGCGGTGATTCATCTTGCCCATTGATGACGGCGGATCTCGGCGGCGTGGCGCAGTGGAGACTCGGCGCCCGATGCACGGAGATGGACTCGCGCAGTAGGGTGACGATGTTTGGCGTCGTGGTGGCGTCGGCGGCAGTTAGATCAGGCAAGGTAGATGCAACAGTACACCCCTGAAGATGCATTGGTGGCAGGTGGCTGCGGCGGCCTCATACCCGGCAGTCGTCCTGGTTGAGGAGCACGCCGGACTGGTGGGTGTCCATACCCGCAGGCGTCCTGGTTGGGACCTCAGGTCTTAGATGTTAGGTTTGGTTGCGAGGTCTGTTTGGTATTAGGCCCAGACTATCAGCGCCCCTTCATCAACTGGATAGGAGTAGCGACAGATATTGCTTAGACGGTGGCTTTAGTCTTACTGTTGTATGACTTTGTAAGGTCTTGTGTTAATAATTAATAAAATGGTTGTATGCATCGTTCAGATGCAGAGCCGGGGTTATTTCTCCTTTTCTAAAAAAAAGAAGCATGCTACACATACAATACTTTTGGTATGATTTTCGTACGACGATTCTGATCTTAAAGAGCCTTATACCATGGCATTATTTTTATGTTGAAACAATGCTCGAAATTTGCACCAGGAAAAAATCTTAAAGAAAGGTTTCTGTTAAACGCGTTTTACACCATCTCTTCATAAGTTTGAAGATCAATAAAAAATGTTCGCGTCTGAGCGAAACAACCCTAGTTCGTTGCATGCAACTCGACGCTTACATAGCGCCTCTCGCCTTTCTGATTGAATTGTTTTTGTTGCACATTACGGTCCCACACTAAGCCTTCAAGTTTTAATAGATAGCCCAGCTCAATCGGGTTCGAGACCACAGGAATAAATTTAATTTTTTCACGGCAAAACTCTTTCGCATAATGACAATGGGTGAGGGTTCGGCCCATCGCCTATGTGCAAGATGTTCGACCAATGAACCAAATAAATCGAAGCCGAATGATGGATCATTTTTTTTTTCATTTTCTGGTTCTTTTCTTTACGTATGAAAAAACAGGAGTAAGAAACGTACATTATATATAAAGGTATATAGAAAAGAAAAGTACTAACTAAAGGTGCATCAAAAACATAATTTAAACAATTATTAACATGCATGATAACATCATATTTAGAATCTATACATTTTTCTGAGAGGTTTTCATGTATAACATGTTAAATTTAGAGTTATCATTTAAGAAATATGAAAATTTCAACAAATACTTGAATCTGCGTAAAATAAAAAGGTAAAAAAAGTAGCTGGGCCAAGATAGTATAAAGGCAGCAAAAAAGAGTGAGAACCTGGGATCAAACCCAGCTCTCCCCGATGGCGGAGCAACGCCCTAGCCAGTACGCTGCTTGTGTACTTGTGATAATGTCAGGGGCTAGCCGTAAATGATCCGAATGCAACCGGCGGCCACCTAATAAAAAATGTATCGTTTTGTCACTTACGGTGGCATTGATGGGTAATTTCTATGAACTTTAGGAGTAATTTTTGTGACGTATGACTAGAAGCGACGCTTTATTATTAGGGAAAGATTCTTAATGTACATTGACATCAAGGTTCCCCTTTTCATGTTAGCATAATATTTGAGGTTCTCATATAAATATGATGATTTGTCCTAAAATATTTAAAACGAGCATCAGACCTTTTCTACTTATGGCCAGCACAACAACACAAAAGAATGCATACATTAAAATGATTTACGCCCTTTTTATGTTGTATATATGCCAAATACGTGAAACTCATTTTCTCAATATTTTTCTAGATTTTTTTGACATTTTCTAGGGCTTTGTTTGAGAAAATTTGAGGGTTAGTCTTTTCAGAACCATTTTGAGGGGTCCTTTTTTTAGGGGCATTACGGCACATTCCTTGGGCTGAGCGGCGGCCCATTTCTTTCTCCTTCTTTTTCTGCCCGTCCGGCACCACCGCAGGCCAACGTTCCGAATTCAAACCACCCGACCCGACCAACACGAGTGCCACTGACACGAAAACAGAGTCTATTTCGAAGCGAAACTGCGCCACCCTTGCTCTGCTCCCCTCCGCCGGCGCTCCTCTCCCCCGCACCCCGCCGGGATCCGGAGGTCACACGACACGCCACGATGCAGCAGCAGCAGCCGGCCCTCCTCGGCACAGGTCCGTCCGCTTCCCTACCTCCCCTCCCCCCTGCACTTTCTCGATTCCATTCGGTTCTTTTCCAATGCTCGGTCGATTCCTCCTCGGCGTTGTGCTGGCGGCCATGGAGTCGCCTCACGGCTGCCGATTTTTTGTGTGCGTGCGGTGCAGGGGGAGGCGGCGGGTGCTGGGACATGATGATGGAGGACACGCGCATGTCGCAGGGCGAGCTCGCCTCCATCGACGCGCCGAGCTTCGACGGCACGGACTTTGAATCATGGCAGATCATGATGAGAGGCCACCTGGTTGGCTCTCACCCTCTTGTGTGGAGCATTGTGGAAACCGGCTTCTCTTGTGCGGACGAGGCAAATCCAACTGACCTCGAACTGAGGAAAACGTACTACAATGCCCAAGCCATGAACGCCATACACTGTGCCCTCAGCGATGATCAGCTCTACCGGATCTGGCACCTTGATACTGCTAAGGAGGTATGGGACGCTCTCCAGGTTATCCATGAAGACACCCCGACCGTCCGTCGGTTAAAGATCAAACAGCTGAGGGAGAAGATGAAGTTGTTTGCGTGGAGGAAGGGCGAATCTGCCGATCAAATGCATACACGGCTCTGGAATTTGGCCATTGACCTGAATCGCCTTGGTTGCAAAGAGGTGGACGATTCTTATGTCGTGTGGACGATGCTTCGTGCCATGACGCCTAGGAAGCCAGCCTTTGTGGACGGCATTCGCCAGGAGCCTGGCTTTGAAGAACTCACCCCTCTGGATGTGCTCCACAACTTCCAAGTCTACGACTGCAGACAAGAGCTATCCAGAATAATCATGCGCGGGTACGTGAAGGCGAAGGCGAAGGCGGACACTGTCACACCGAGCGAGCCCGACGACGATGCAGATTGCTCCGGAGAAGCGCCTCGCTTCGATGGCACGCACTATCTATCATGGCAGCGTAGGATGAAATTCCATCTGCTTAGCATTGACCCCCTAGTGTGGAGAATTGTGGAAACTGGCTTCTCCTGTGTAGATGAAGCAAATCCAACGGCTCTTGAAAAGAGGAATTGGCAGCACGACTATCGAGCTAGACATGCCTTACAGTATGCCATAGGTGATGATCAATACATTCGGATTTGCCGGTATCAATATAAGAGTGCTAAGGAGATTTGGGATGCTCTCCAAAAATTTAATGAAGCAGTTGGTAAGTCAAAGCTCAGTTCACTGAGGATTGATATGAACTTCTTCATCTTAGGGGAAGACGAGTCCCCGAGTGACATG